CATTAAATTCCAGTGAAATATATTTATGTTTGTGGTTGTAATGTGACAAAATATGGAAAAGTTCAAGGGGTATGAATACTTTTGCAAACCACTGTATCTTCCTTTGAATAACCAATCCCTAAAGGCAGGCTTGAATTTTATGATAATGGTCTAATACTTTTAAATCAAGAGATAATATATTCCAATAACCAATGGCTCTATACATAGATGTTTAAGTGCATTAGTTTTAGGTAATGGCAAAATAAAAGTCACAGAAGCAGCATGTCTAGTTTTAACACCATGTCTATTTGAAGTAGGCAACAAGTAAGAAAATAAAATGGAGGGTTTATGTGAGGTCCAGATTTTATAAAAGAAAAGAGTAAATCTATATGTCAGTCTTTCTTTGACCTTTAACCATGATAGATTCCTATGCATTAAATCAACACTGGTCATAAAATCACAACCAAGAGCTGAACTTGTGGCTTTACTTTTGAACAGTTTGTAATTTATTGAAAATCGTTTTTTAGACTGCTGGACCACACAAGTTGAGATGACATAAGACTAAATACTGTGTCACCAATGTTCTTACTCTAAAAGACATAAAATGAGCATTACGTCTAATCACAGCAATATTTCTGCTCATTTTACTCAAAATATTTTGAATATGTGTAGACCATGACAACTGATCTAACATAACTCCTAGCAGTTTAAACTCCCTAACCTGCTCGATCTGCTGGTTATTCAAAGAAATAGCCAACATTGGATTATTTCTTATAGAATATTTAGAACCCAATGCACGGTAGTTTTTAATACATTAATCTTCAACATGTTCTCTGTTGCTCACTAACAAACACAATAGTTCCTGCTGTAACATCTTGTTTACCTGAACCAAACATTTTGAGGACACAGCTATTGTTATTGTGTTATGTTATTGTAATATTTGTAGTTAGGCTCCATGGGGAAAAAAAATCAATGAACTTCTGAGCCCACAAACTGTGAAATGCAACTTTGCAGGCTTTCACTGCACATTTCTACATTGCTCATCACAGAGCATTTGGTGGCAAAAAAATGACCAGAATTCAAAATTCAAATTTTCCCCTAACAGAACCAGCACAAAAACAAGTCATTTTCCTCTAAATCAGGGGTGTCCAGTTCTGGTCTTGGAGGTCCACTATCCTGCATGTTTTAGAGGTTTCTCTGCTCCAACACACCTGATTCAAATAAATGGGTGATTAACTGGCTTCTGCAGAACACAAAGAGGCAACTTAATCGCTGAATAAGGTGTGCTGGAGCAGAGAGAGACAAGTAAAACATGTAGGATGGAGGAATCTTGAGAACAACGCTGCCCTGAATATTTTTGAAATCTGTTGCATTTTATTTTAAACTGACTCCTCGTAGAACAAATGTTCTTTATGTTTTTAAACAATGAGGTGTAGGAGGGCTAATCAGGTGTGTGTGCCAACATACTTGGCCAATAAACCTGATTCTATGGTTACTATACTTTAAATAGTTGAGTTTTATTAGGCAGGTCAGATCTGTGGTGGTAACAGTGCATCTCCATATTAAAATAATGGCTGAACTCAGCTTAAATCTAAATGGTGACGTCTGTAGTGAGCTCCAGGTCTGGCGTCCTGCACATACTCATCTTCACTTCCATGTATCCTGTAATTTTGGGCTGATCTTGTGGTTTGGTGGACAGTAATTTTGGTAAAGTGTCCTCAGAATGGATATTACATCACTAAAGTGCTGCTTCATTCTATTTCCATTACCCCCGTGTATCATTACACTCTGCCTGCAACACAATCCTGAATTTTCCTTTTGGGGTTTGGATGAAAACATACGAACAACGATATCCCCCTCCTTTGATATGCAGTCATTTAAATCAATATTTGCTCTGTGTTAACGATTATCCATGGAGTCTGTTACGCTAGGGTTAATGTCTGTGTTAGGGTGTGTGTGTGTGTGTGTGTGTGTGTGTGTGTGTACTGCAGTGACATAGAGTAGTCTTTGCTGAATTCTTACCCAAGCTCAGACATGCAGTACAGCAGCATGCCAAATTAAACACATGACCACTTTTCTTTTTTGCACAAGACTTCTGTGTGTGTCTGTGTGTGAGTGTCTGTGTGTGAGTGTCTGTGTGTGAGTGTCTGTGTGTGAGTGTCTGTGGGTTTGTGTTTTTGATGCGTTTTGCCAGATGAGTCTCGGATGTCATCGCAGCCCAGCTCGTTCCCAGAACAGACCAACACCTTTTCTTCGAGTTTCCTGCCGCTCACGCGTTATAGCTCTGTGTTCGGTCATTCGCCTTTTTAGATAATCTGCTCGCTGGCTGCACCTACGAGTGGAAACAAGTGAAAACATGTTTGTGTTTGTGTCACTGACGATGTGTCTGTCAACAGTACTCGGAAAAAGAGGACAAGTATGAGGAAGAGATCAAAGTTCTGACTGACAAACTGAAGGAGGTGAGATCCACGTTATGGTTGATTATTTTTATAAGCAGTTTAAACAGCTGAAATTCAATTATTTTTAAACTGCATGGGTTAGAGAAAATGTTTTTAGAACTTCTCCAGTGATGCATGCTGGGATAATCGGTTGGGACCTGCTGACCATTTGTGTCTGAACTCCATCCAGGCTGAAACCAGAGCAGAGTTTGCAGAGAGAACAGTGGCCAAACTGGAAAAAACTATTGACGACCTGGAAGGTATGGGATCAAAAAGGAAAAAAATTGAGTCAGTTTGATGTTTGTTGTAGGGCTGCAACAACGAATCGATTAAAAAATCGATTATTAAAAGTGTTGGCAACGAATTTCATTATCGATTCGTTGTGTCGCACGATTTATGCGTCGCTGAGCCGTTTACGTCACCCGCAGAGCATTGTCAATGCTGGCTGACCTAAATAAAGTTTAGGAAGAAAAAAACTCTACCTGTAAAGATCCGCCCTCTCTGAGACCCTCAAGTGAAAAGTAGAGACTTCAAACTTTAAACCAGTTTTTAAATTGTGTTGTTAGGCCAAGTAGATCCAGAGTTATGATGGAAAGTATATGTTGCATTTAATTTTTTTAAATGACGGTCTGATTTGATGCACGCCGCGTCGCGAGGAGGAATAATCTAGTGAGGAAAAAAAAATTAAAGTCCTCAGTCCTCTCGGACCAGAAATATAAAACCCTCCCTGTCTTTTTTTCTGACCGAGGCTCAAAGTTATTTGATAAACAGCAAAAAGTTCAGGACGAAGGAAAAAAAATGGCGCGAGCAACACTTCTGGTCTGACTTAGTATGGGAGGGGGGAGGGATGGGGCGCTGCTTCAGAACTGGGTCGTTTTAGCCACAGACAGAACCAACAAGAAGGAAGCAAAACGTAAAGAATTAGAGAAAAATCATAAATTCTAAATGCAAATAAATTCTAATTATAATAACAAATAGTTTTACATCTAAAAAAATCATATTTTATTCTTTTTATCTGTTTTCCTCATTCAGCAACCTATTAAATTTATGTTTTATGTTTTATAGCTATAACCAAGTGTATTAATGTACGAGAAATCCACATTTTTTTTTGTTTTGTTTTCCAGTCAGTGTTTAATACGGCTGGCAAAATCAATTGTGAAAAGTATCTATGATGTGCTTCTTTTTTAAATTTAGCATATTATTTATAAAATCATTCTTTTTATGAAAAGACCCTCTTGATTCAATAGAAAATTGTGGTTTTTAATAAAATGGCTGCTTATCAATTATTTGTTAGTCAATCTATAAAATAAACCAACTTCAGACCACTTCACATTAATCGATAACATGCATCCTTAATTTATACAGGAATTAAATTGATTCATATCTACTTATATTTATGTAATTAAGTGTTTTAATGATTTGGCCGATAAATCGGAAAAATAATCGACAGATTAATCGATTATTAAAATAATCGTTAGTTGCAGCCCTAGTTTGTTGTAAATTTTAATATTTGCAAGCTTTTGTAGAGGACAGAGTCTCACTAAGAGACCCTCCTTGTTGAAGGGACAGCTTCAGCCACCCTGCAGAGAGGACAGATTTGTAGGCTAACGTTACTGGAGCAGCTTTATGAGACTGAAATCAGGCTTAAACACGATCACCCAGCAAAATTAGACGTCACTGTCTAATTCAAGCATTTCTGCATCTTTTAAAAGCCTGACCTATTTTCTTTTTTTTTTTCTTTTTTTTTGTCTTTACATTCTCTCTGCTCCTTTCCACCTCCATCCGTCTCCCCTCATTGCTGCTTTTGGCTTGTTTGTATCGCTGCCGTCTCTGCCACTCCTGTCGACCTCTGACCTCCAGATGAGTTGTATGCTCAGAAGCTGAAGTACAAGGCCATTAGTGAGGAGCTGGACCATGCTCTCAATGACATGACATCTCTTTAGGCGTCATCTGCTGCTGCTGCTGAGTCTCACCTCTCTCCTCCTCGCTCTTCTGTGCCGCTTTATGTTGCCCTGGTTTCTCTCTCTGCAGTCATATGTGCCTTTTTGCTTGTCTTGCTTTTCAAAACTTAAACTTGATTAAAATCCTTTGTTTCCTACTTTGCAGCATCTGTCTCTGTTCTTGATTTTATTTGTAGTAGAGTAGAAAAACCTCAGAGTTTAGGATTTACAGAGGTTTTTGTAATGAAGGATCCAGTTTCATTGGTTCATCCAGGTGAGCATTTTTATATTAGATGTTTTTGGTTGAAATTAACCGTTTGCAGCCCGCTGTGACCTTTTGAGAGTTTTGACTTAAACCTGACAATTTGATCTAAACTTTAACAGCTTTGAATATCTAAATGAGATCAAACACACTCAGACTGTAATTGCTACAGAAATAAAGAAATATTTTTAATTTAAATATTACATTTCTTACAAAATAAATGCTCTTAACTCTGGGAACCACTGGACTGGTGTTGGAACCCCTCTGTGGGTCAGGAAACCTCAAGTGAGAGAGACCTTTTATTGTCATCATACATGAGTATGAGTGTAGTAG